AATAACCCCAGAAAAAGGCCATGAAAGCCTGGTCAGCCGCTCTGCTGAGCGCCCGGGGCGGCCGGAGCGCCGGGGGGTCGGGGCGGGCGGGCGGAGCGTGGGGCCGGGCGCCGGCGGCTGCGGCGGGGCAGCGGCGGCGGCGAGCGGAGCGGTGCCTGTTTTAAGGGAGTTGTTTTGGAGTTGCACAGCCAGTCCGACGGGTTGCGCCGGAGCCCCGGCTTGTCTGGGCCGGGAGAAGCGCTCGCCTTGCCTCTTTTCCCGGCTCCCTCTCCCCCCCGCGTCCCTCCCGCCCTCCTTCCCTCCCCGCCTTGCTGCCTCCTGCCTTTTTCCCCCGTCTCTTCCCGGATCCTCCGAGAGGGGGGCTGCGGGGAGCCCGGCGGATGCTCTTTGGGCTCCCCAGCCCCCCCGCCCCGGGCGCCCACTGGTCTCGGCGTTGGGCTCGAACCGGAGGAGGAGAAGGAGGAGGAGGAGGAGGGCTGACACCCAAAGGGGGAGACACCCAAAAAAAACTTTCCCAGCCGGTTTCCGGGACGTGGGGCACGGAGGCGAGCCGGCTCGGCGGCGCGGGGCGGCCGCCGCGGGGGCAGCGGCCAGGGGAGCCCCTCGGCGGGGCGCCGTCGAGGCATGGACGGGGCGGCGGCGGCGGGCGGTCCCGCGGAGCCCACCCCGCGCAAAGGCGGCGGCGGTGCGGCCGAGGGAGGCAAGAACCAAGCGGGAAGCGAGCAGCCGCTCTTCTCCCTGGGCTTTGAGGCCGGCTACGCGCAGCAGCCGCAGCCCGAGGTGCGCCCGCGAAGGACTGCGGGGCTGGGGACATGGGGAGGCGGCAGCCGGGGGGAAGGGAAGCGAAGCGAAGGTGAGGAAGGAAGAGGAGGGGGGGATCCCGCACCCCCTCCCCTCTCTCCTTCTGCCCGTCTCTCCCGCTCCCTCCCCGCCCCCCCTCTTTCTGCACACCCCCCCTCTCCTGGCTCCCACCCTCTCCCTCTCTCCGGATCTCTTTCTCTTTCACTTTTGCATGCCCTGCAACCTTTTAAAATGTTGCCCCTTTCCTGTGATTCGTCAGACGCAGCAGCATGTGCCCCCTCTCTCTCTCCCGCTCCCTCTCTCTCCCTTTTTGTCTCTCTCTCCCTCTCCCTCTCCCCCATCTCTGATTAGATACACTGATTCTTCATTCAATGGACGTCATTTAGAACAGGCTCTGCCTTGAGTTGCCTTCTCGCTTCACGCTCGATTTCCAGCCATTCTTCCCTTATTAAGTGTTCGTGTAATATTAATAGTCATGAATATCTGCTATTAGGAGTCTCCAGGAAGGCAGCAGATCTGTTATTAGGAGCTCAAGTGAAGCAGCAGCTAAGTCAAAGGAGAAAAAGAAAGAAAGAGTCAGAGGAAAAAAAGGATTAAGAAACAAACACACACACGCTAAAAAAAAAAAAAAAAAGGAAAAAAAGCGCAAAACAAACAAACAAAAAAACCAAAACAAAAAAAAAAGAGGAAAAAAAGAAAAAAAAAAGCAACCAACTTTGGCTCCTCACACCGCGCCAGGATAGAGAGCTCGCCTTGGGAACACCCGATGAAGGGCAGCAGAGATCGGTGCAAGTTCTGATGGATTATCGTGGCGCGCCCGCGGTGCAGGAGCAGCCCCGGCGCCCCGGTCCTGCCGCTCGCGCCTAGCGCCGGGCTCCGGCCGCGCTCCCTCCGCGCCCGCGCCGCGCCCGCACCCGCGGGGCTCCGCCGGGGGCTGCGCGCTTCGCCGGTCCCTTTCCTCTGCCTTTTTGTTATTTTTTCTACCTTGACTTGTAACCCCCGACTCTTCGCAGATGTTAGTGCACAGTTTTTCGGCTATGGTGAGTTGCTTCACGTTTCTCTCGGAGGGGGTTCGGTGTGCTCTGGGTGTTGCTATTGTTGTCGGCGGTGGCAGTGGGGGTTTCGCACCCAGCTTTCCGGAGCGGGCTTTTTTTCCTTTCCTTCATTTTTATAAATTCGGTGGTTTACATTTTTCCCCTTCTCTCTTTATTTTTCTTTTTTTCCTTCCCCCTCCCCCCTTCTTTTCTTTTTTTTGGGTCTGCTTTGAACGAACGGATAAAGGCTTTGCTTGGACCCTACTGCTTCGATTCCTTCACCTTGCCACCTGCAAACGTAGTATTTTCTTTCTCGTTTCCCTTTCTCGGGACCGCGTCTCTTTCCTTCGAATCCTCCTCCACGGAGGCCATTCCTTTTGCCCCAGACGTTCATGTGGTCTCATCTGCCCGGCCTCGAGAGCCTGCAGAGCCGTGCCGAAACGCCCGGGCTGATTTCCGTGCCACTCGTCCGTCGGGGCGGCGGCGCTTCCCCCGGCTGCCTGCCGCATTCCTCCGCTTCCCCGGCGGCCGGGCCGCCGCTGCCCGCTCCGCTCCCAAATCGCACGCTGGCCAGCCCGGGCTTCGGCCGGGCATCGGGACGGCTCTTCCCGTAGCTGGGGGACCAGGGCAGTGCTTTCCCCCCGAAACATTCCTAAAACTCTTGGGGGGAAACTACCGGTTTGTTTGGAGGCTATTTCGGCGTTTTCTGGTAACAAAATGGCAGTAGGCTTGGATTTTCCGGGGTTTCCTTGGGACGCGAGCGATCGGTAATGTCAGCGACAGTATCTCGGTGCTGTTAAGGGCCAGAGGAAGAATTTTGGGTTGTGGCAGAATTATTATTTCAGTAAAGCTCGCTTGTGAATTATTCTTTTTATTTGCGGGAAATACCTGCTCCTGAAACGCCGGGGCGCGATCTGTTGTGAATCCACGCTGTATCGCCGCAATGTTTTATTATTATAAGCTGCCCTGTTGTAATTATTGCTATTATTGCTGTTATCATTATTGCCGTTATTGTTGTTTTTTAAAAAGCGAGACTGCCTCTTAATTATTTGGGAAGGGAAATCAGAGGCAGAGAGATCTCCAGATCTGCTTTTCTCCGCCTCGCAGATGATGTTTTGCCCCTCATTGCCCTATAGATGAAATTTTCAAGGCGATTTTGAGGAAAATCAGTTTGATATTATCTTTGTTTTTTTTTTTTTCTCCTTTCCCCTCCCCCTCCTCTACCCCCTCCACTCCCCAACCCTCCCCC